TCTGAAAGAAGATACACAGCTAGCAACTCCCAGCTCCTCCCCTAAGAGACTGAACAATCTTTAAATATACTGGCTACACCTGAAGCTGACAACGACACTTTGGCTCTGAAGCAGTAGTAGCACTGTGATAGTTCAGTTCTTACAAGACTAGATTTTATTCTTTTACTTTTTCATTTTTAATTATCTTTTGGTTAAACAAATGAAGAACTGAGAACCATACACACACACACATATATATATACTCAAAAAAAAATCTACACATGTGGAAGCCATCTGTGACATCTGGTATTTTACTAAACTATATATATGTACACACAGACATATCACTCTGGATGTATTTATTCCAAACTTCATGGTTATCAGAAGTGTTAACTGTTGAGCTCCATACACCACTAAACTTTCGTTAATAAATTCAGTTCCCTCAGAAATACTGTATGTCCAAGTACATGCCTCAGCATCTAAGATGTACTAGCAATCAATGACCACAGTAAAGTGGCAAATTTTAAATCCATTTTACACAGAGATAAACATTATGAGTTGAAGCTGTACTCAAAATTTAGTGTAGTGGATTGTAGTTCCTCTACTGACACCAACAGGCACTAGACCAACCAGGGAGTGTATTTTTTAACTCAAAGTTATACAGTAAGATGCTACTAAAAGATTCTTTTTGCATCTTACTCTCTGTTTAAAAATAAGCCTAAGATGCAATTTTAAAAATTATAATCAGGAGAGTAAGTAAATTCTTGCAACTGTTCCCAGACAATATCTGGTAATTAGACGGTGACATGTTTCACAGTGATTTTTTTATTTATTCACAGCTTCTGATTGCAGATCAACACTCACAAGAACCTCATATAGTTTGCATGAATAGTAAATAAATCTCTCTCCTGTGGATCATTAATCTGATAATACTGAACTTTAATTTGTCTAACCTCTTACCTCAGAATTAGATCTAGGGAAAAAATATTCAGTTAAAGGATCCAAACAAGGTATGATTTTGAACACATCTGCATTTACTGTATAATCCCACTAGATTAAGTGAATGTAAAGCCAGATAAATTCTGGCTAGATAACATCTTATAAAATCTTATAAATGAAAATCACAGGTTCTTAGGCTAAAATGTATACATCTCAATGGGATGCAAGACACTTGCTAACAGTTTTTGGCTATTTAACCATATAGAACTAGGTTTGTCAAAGTATTTGTAGTCATTTAAATATTGTTAGCAGCTTTCAAAAAGGCACATGCACAAATCAGATGGTCAGTATTTCCTCTGGGAAATTCTAACTTGTCAAAAATAAATCCTTTTTGTAGAAATGTGACAGGTTCACAAACTCAAAATCAGAGCAAAATACCCAAGATACAGCAGTACTGAAGCTCAAAACACCCAAACAGCTTAGCAGTTAAGGCAATCAAATAGATTCAGCTTCACATCTCCTCCTTTTGCAGATCAAGGGTTCATTCAGTGAACCCTCTTAATTATTTAGTTTTCAAAATCAATCTTTCTTTTCATCTTATTATACAAAGTGAAATAACTCCAACAGGAGATTTTGCTTTAAAGCTGTAAAAAACATAAGCATTAACTGAGATTGTACTCTTTGAGCAGCACTGTATAGAAATACTCATGGTAGGCTAGACTTGAGCTCTTCATACCAGGAGTAGAGAAAAAGGAAAAATCTCTCTTTTTTTTGCATAGACAAAATAATAAAAAATTCCTTAGCTGCCTCCCAAGATAAGAACCAGAAGAGCAACCACCCCAAGTGTATGTATGCCCATGTATGCAGCCTGGGGAACTAACAGGAGGGACTGGAGCTCCGGGCCCAGTCAGAAATTTATGATATCATAGGATTAACTGAAACATGGTGGGGCAACTCACATGACTGGAGGATCACAACGGAAGGTTATAGACTGTTCCATAAGGACAGGCAGGGAAGAAGAGGAGGAGGAGGAGCTGCACTCTATGATAAGGAGTACCTTGAATGTATAAAAGCCAAACACGGTGACTGTGGAAGCCCTACAGAATGCCTCTGGGTCAGGATCAGAGGGTTCATCTACAAGGAGGATCTTCCAGTTGGCATCTGCTACCCACCTCCAAACCAAGATGATAAGACCAATGAAGAAGTACTTGGGTCACTTAATCAAGTTTTGGGACCACAAACCTGTTTCTTATGTGTGACTTCAACTACCCAAACATTTTTTGGAAGAACAATACAGCAGCTCACATCATCCATTAAGTTCCTGGAATGCGTATAAGGACTGCTTCCTCATACAACTGTTACATGTGCCAACCAAGAATGAAACACCGCTGGACTTGCTATTCACAAAACAGGAAAACCTGCTTCGTAGTATCTTGATTAGTGATAGCCTTGACTGCTGTGATCGCAGTATTATGGAGTTTGGGATCCTGTGGAGCACATGAAAAATTACTACTAAGACAAAGATTTGAGATGAGCAAACTTCATCTTGCTCAGAGCTTGGTTGGGAGAGTGTGGTAGTTTGACCCTGGCTGGAGGCCAGATACCCACCACAGCTGCTCAATCACTCCTCTTTCTTAGACAAACAGGGGAGAGAAAATATAACAACAGGCTCATGGGCTGAGATGAGGACAGGGAGAGATCACTCAGCAATGACTATCATGGGCAAAATTGACTCAACTTGGGGAAAAATAACTTTATTGCCAATCAAATCAGAGAAAGGCAATAAGAAATAACAGCAAATCTTTAAGAAAACCCACATTCTCCCGCCTCTTCCCTCCTACCCAGGCTTAACTATATTCCAAACTTCTCCACCTCCTCCCCTCAAGCGGCACAAGGGGATAGGGAATGGGGGTAGAGGTCACTTCATTAGATGTCTCTGCCATTCTTCTTCAGGTGAAGGACTCCTCACATTCTTTCCCTGCCCTGCTGTGGGGTCCCTTCCACAGGAGACAGTTCTTCAGATTGCTTCTTTCAAGAATCATCTCGGAGGTTTTTAGACGAGGTTTTACGAGATGTTAAAGACTGCACTCTGCTGTAACCAAATCTGTGGTTTGACTAAGCCACTCTCTGCAAGCACCCTTCTGTGGGTCTCAGCTCTGGGCGGGCAGCAGCCACTGCGCACAGTGCAGATGGCAACCCTGGGGCTCCCTGCCCCATGGGAGCTCAGCAGAAAGGTGTCACTCCCAGGGACAGTGCTTTCTGCAGAGGAAATGGAAGGACATGGAAAAATAAAAAACAAACCACCAGCTCTAAGTTTGAACTATCCCAGCTTTCTCCCATGGAGAAAGACCTTGGAGTCCTTGTGAACGGTAAGATGTCCATGGGACAGCAATGTGCCCTTGTGGCCAAGAAGGCCAATGGGATCCTGGAGTGCATTAAGAAAAGTGTGTCCAGCAGGTCTAGGGAGGTTCTCTTCCCTCTCTGTTCTGCCCTGGTGAGACCACACCGGGAATACTGTGTCCAGTTTTGGGCTTCCCAATTCACGAGAGACAGGGACCTACTGGAAAGCTATGAGGAAGATTAAGGGACTTGAACATATCTACTATGAAGAGCG